ATAACAAAATGTGGTCTGTGCATGCAGTGGAATGTTATTCAGCCTTTAAAGTGAAGGACATGTGATACAACATAGATGAACCCGGAAGTCAGACCAAGGAATACGAGCCAGTCACAGAAAGGAAAACTATATAGGATTCACTTATACGCAGTGCAGCCTATCTGACAGTGCTCAATATTAGTAAAGCATACAGTGAAAAAAGTGATTAAAATGGACACTTGTATGCTATGTGTTTTTTACCAACTTTAAAATAAAAATTTATACTTTTACTTCACTTAATAATACCAAATGAACAGCTTCTATCAATAGCTATATTTCTGTATTTCTGGTGGTCACAATTTGTTCTAATTCATTATTATATAACTTATTTAACCCAGTCCTCATTTGGGGGAATTTATGTCTTTTACAAAGTCAACATCATGAACAAGCTGCAGTGAATGTTGCTTTTAGTTACATCGTTGCCAACTGTGCAATTATGTCCTTAGAATAAATTCCCGGAATGGGATTGCTGGGTCAAAGGGGAGGGGGGCCTGAGTCAGTGTGAGATGGGGTGGAAAATGCAATCTGAAAAAGGAAAACCAGACTGCAGAGATTTGCAGGAATGAGGTGGAGGGCAATATAAATTAAACACAGTACAAAATGTTTTTGTCTGGTGAAAGAAAATGTTATTTCTTTGTTATACAAATTGCATTGAGATTCTGCAGTGCCCTAGACCTAGCCTTGCTCGTATTACACATAACCTTAATCTTGCCCTAGACACTGTGATATCAAACTGAATGAGGCATCCTCTCATTCCTCAAGGAACTGAAAGATCAAGGAACAGAGAATCAAGGAAATCAATGATTCCAGTGCAGTTCCTTTCATAATATAATGGAGATGTGCCCAAGGTTACTGGAGACAGTTCATCAATCATAGGAGGTCTCTCAAAGGAAGTGACTCTATATGTCACTAAGACCAGTTATGAGCAACAACTTGGAATTATTTCGACTAAGGCAGTAGATAACTACTTGAAGGAGTTCACTTCCAGTGTGGCCTCCAGTTCCCCTTACTGCCTGGCATCTATCTCCTTGTATAATTTCCTTTCACCTGGAGTCAGAGTGCCTCATAGAAAATGGCAGAGATAATGGTAGCATATCCATTCTAAGGCTAGATTATAAAAACCAATGCAGCTTCCTTCTCACTTTTTTGGATCTTGCAAGAAGGCTGTTGCTATGCTATAAGAACAGTCGGGTAGTCTGTGAAGAAAAACTAAAGCTCTTACCAAAAGCCAGCATTAACTCACCCACCACAGGAAAAGACCAGTTTAGAATTGGATCCTTCAGACATTCGGCCAATGTCTGCCTGCAGTCAGTCTCATGAGAGAAACCAAGATTTAATAAATGATTACTTGATAATTCCTTTTTTAAAGCCACTATAATGTTTTAGGATGACTGATTTCTCAGCATGTACAGCAAAAAATGTCTCAAAGCCAGTGTTTCTAGAGTAATCCAGGAGTTTATGCTGGGGAGGACAGCACACACTGCTCTGACAGTCTTCCTTCTGGTCCGCTGAACAAACTGTGCTCATGCTGCACCTGATGATGGCTGGATGAGACCATAAAAAGAGTAAAACTAGATGGTATTTAAATTCCTGGAAAATCTCCACCCTTACCTGGAAACAGAATCACTGTTCCCCCCACAGGCTTAAGCCTCTCTTTCGTTTTTCTTACCCTGACATTCATAGCCTCCGTGAGTTGAGTTGCTGATCTGTGTGCCTTACTTCTGATTTCTCCTATACTTTGACTAAAAATTAAACTTCTTTTGCTGCTTGACCAGTGCATGGCTTCAGTCACTGGCGCTATGATTCTGAGAAGGGAAAAGGACCCTGCTTGGGTCAGAAATCAAGTGGCCAATAAATAGGAAAGAAAGGGAAAAGATGGATAGAAAAGGAAACTAAGGGAACAGTTTTTAAGAAAGAAGCCCTAACTAATAGCACCAAAGGCACCAAGCAAATAAGTGCATGAGGAACACACACCAGAGCTGCCACTGTGGCGGTCACCTGCGTCCTCTGTGGAAGGAGATGCTGAAACTGGCATTACATCAGGAGTGGACTCCTTGATCAACTGGCTTGTTTGGAAAAGTAATGAGAGGTGGGGAGATGGAGAGGAAGAGGGAGAGGGAAAAGGAGAGGGAGAGGGAGAAAGAGAGAGAGGGAAAGGGAGACAGAGAGGGAGAGGGAGAGGGAATAACAGTTGTAAAAAGAGAAACTTGAACATTTCCAAAGCTTTATTTTAGCCCACAAGTGAAATGTCCTTCAGTTTTCTTACCTTGAGACATTTTATGGAATTAAAAAAGAAAGATATTCTTAGGGAGATATGATAAGCAATTGTGAAATTAAAAAAAAAAGAAAACGGCACAGTGTCATTTACACAACACTGCAGAAATTAATTCCATACAAAGATGGAAATGGAGGAAATGAACATGCCGTCTAATTTTAGACTCCGAAGAGTGCCATGTTGTTCTGGAGTCAAGGAAGATCCCCTCAGCTGAGGCTCTTCAGCTCCATGTAGGTCCTTTTAGGAAACAAGCAGTGCCATTGTGACACAGACACACAGCTGTCACATCTAGGAGGAACACTGTTTGAAAGGGAAAACATTTAATGTACTCAGAATAAGAGGTTTTAGATCTAATTCTTATCTGTCTCTAATTCATAAGCCCACTATCAATTGATTGGTTCACTTATTCAGTTTAGTCAGCGATCCTTTCTGGAGCGCACAGTCTGTGCCAGGCAGTCTTAGGCCAAGCACTAACCAACTCCCCGGACTCTAGACCACCTGCTCCCATGGCCAGGCACACGCAGCTGCCTTTGGGTCAGAAGCGTGTTGCTCACACCTGCAGCTGCCGCAGGGCCTCCTCATCAGTCAGTGGCTGTTCCATCCTCCCGGCTGCTTAAACCGAAGAACTTGAAGTCATCTTTGACTCTCTTTTCTCAGTTCATCTCTAGCCCATCAGCAAATCCTATCAGTTTTCTCTTTAAACAGTATCCAGAATGAGACCACCCTTCACCAGTTACCTTCCTACTCTTTCTCCTAAGCATGCACACTCTCATTCCCTCCCCCCCCCCCCCCCGAGCCTGATACCTGTGTCACTTTCTGAAGCAGCTCTGGAACCCTCTCTCCGGAGTGTCTTTAGTGATGCTGTCACGGCTGCCTTAATGCCCTGAATCCATTCAAAACACTTAAGGAAATTTCTGTCAAATTAAAACTATATTGTGTCCTCATCATCTTATTCACTGGATCTGCACTATGCAACTTCTGGCTCTTCCCAACAGTCCAAATGACCAAGAGAGGTAGGTATTTTGGATCAGTTCAGGACAGCAAGGGAACCATGACAGCACAACTAAAGATCATCATGAAAAAGGCTGTGCAGAACTGCTGTAGAAAATGACAAGAATGAGGAGACAAGTGTGTTCAAAATAGGGGGAGTATTTTGAGAGGCATTAATGGCAATGTGTCTTTTTATGATATTTATTATAACAAAATTTTAAAAATAAACATTCACCTTATTTTTTAATCACACCTTATATGATATGCTACATCACATATTTGTCACGTGTCTTCCTTGTTCTTCTTTGTTCTTTCCTTCCTCATCTCTAAATGTCAGTGTGAGCGGGTAGGACTGCTTGTCTCAAGTCCATTCTCAGCCCTTGGCCCCAGGTGGCCTTTAAACATCAGTTAAAGCTTTGCAAGGTTAAGACTTAGTTCCTGTTTTCCAAGGACTCTTAATCCAATGGGGGAAAATGACCTTAAACAACAGTGTGACTGCTGCTGAGGATAAGGTCTGCTCAAAGGACTGAAGAGAGGACCCTGGAGCAGGCTGTGAAGGGCGAATTCAGGCACAGAGGTGGGGAAGCAACCTGTAAACCCAGCAGACATACAAAGGCTTAGGCTTTCATATCCCGTGAATGTGGACCTTGAGCTGGAGGAGGAGGTGGGGAATGGTCATGGCCAGACTGTAAAGGATGTTGAGTATACTTCCTAAGGAGCCTGAGTTTTAACTGTGGTACAGTGATTTTCAAACTGTCCCTGGAGAAGCCTGAGGTGTCCTTCCTGCCGAAGGGGCCAACTTACAGATTTTCCCCCTGTAAATATAGAGGGGGATATTCCACATCCTGACATCAAACACAGCAGCCCAGTGTTTAAACACACACACACACACACACACACACACACACACACACACACACACACACGGTGGCAGAGAGGAAGTTAGCTCTTCCTGGTCTGAGCTTTCATTGCATTGTTTAAAGTCCTAAGGCACCAGATAACAATAGTGGAGCTGCAGGACTAGAAGTCCCAGAACCGGGTGGGGGAGGGAGAGAAAGAGGAGCTGCGCGGTGGGGAGCGTCCCAGCCTCGGTTCCTTATCTGCCGAGCAACACAAAACTTCACGTACTGGAGAAGCCTGGTATCTGTCACTCAGTAATACCTGTCTTTGAAAAATAAGGAAAGTGCCACTTTTCTGTTTTCTATCCATTACTAGTAAATTATAACTAAGGTAGGGTCAGAAACTCTCAGATAAACCTAAGGTAAATGATGTTCTTCAAAAGTCCCTGCGGTTCTCAGGTCGACCTCCTGCGGCCCGGGGCTACGTGACTGCACCCTCGTCTGGGAAGCGCCGGCCCAAGGCTCAGCCCCGGGGCGACCCCGCCTCGTGCCCCTGCACAGGCCCAAGGGGTGACTGACGTTCATCTGCGGTGAGCAGAATTCCTTCTCTGGTCTCCAGGCAAGACGTGCAAACTCACCAGTGCCTTGGGAGCTTAGACTAAGAATTTGTTGCACCCACATGAACGCTGCATTCCTACTCTTCAAAAATTAATGAGACCGCATCTGTAAAGTGCCATAAGTTCCCTGGGATCAAAGTGTTGACTTATTTTTGTCATCTATTATTTACGCATGCACTGAATTGAAGATTTTAAAAACAGTGCTTACTGAGATGTAATGAGAACTGCAACACTCCTACATTGGGTACAAATCATGTTTTTTATTTTTTATTTTTCTGCAAGCAAGTTCAGCATATCAGTGGTTTATTTAATAAGGTCATTCCTACACAGGGCTGAGGTCGAGAGCAGTTATAATATTCTGCATGAAGAAACCGGTGTACAATCGTAGGTCTCATATCATCTTCCTCCGGTTCCATTTTAGACAGACTGGGTCATTATTTCAGTTTTACAGATGAGAAAACTCACGTTGCTTCCTATAATGTTAATTACCATTGTTACTGAAGGTAATCGATTTTGAATGAAGACACAATTTGTTAGAGAAAAAAGATCTGAGAAACTTTCTTTTAAATAACTTTCAAGGAATGCTCCATACCTAACCTCAAACAAAAGGAAAGGGCAAAGCGATGTTATCTTCTAGGTCAGGACAATAAACAGAGTTTTCTATTTTCTTTCCTCTTTGTAAGCAGTGACACTTGAGAAGTTTCTCACCAGCAGGTTTCTGTACCCTGCCTGAAAATTATCTGATTGACATCAGTCTAAACAAGGGTGGGACGAACTGGGGGCGGCTCCCCTGTTCTCTGGTGTGTTCTGTGAGCTGAAAGAAGCGGGGGTTACAGACTTTATTTCTGCTCGATTTTTCAGTTACACTGCAAGATAGCTCCGATCCCTGAAATTTTCCAAAAAAGGTAGAAAAGAATGAGATTTGAGCATTTGTGTTAGACTTGGATGATCTCCAAAGGTGGAGGTCCAGCTGCTTACCTCGCCAAGGGTGTGAGTGGAGAGGGGTTTGGAGACTCACCTGCAGCGCCTGCCTGCTGGGCATTTACCCTGCACTGTAGCTGGGGCAGATTTTCGGGTTTCCCTTCGCTGTCTTCTGCAGACGCGATGCTTCGGTTAACAGCAGACCACGTGAACAACAATGCTGTAACGGAGCTGAAAAATCCCTATCCCTTAGTGAGAGCGTAGGGGAAATGACGTCACAGCATAAGGAATTGCTATGTGTTTGTTGTGATGTTGGTTGTAAACAAATCTAGTGTTCTGCCAAAGGTATGAAAGTAAACATGTACAGTTATCACTGTATGTTATTCTTGATAATCATTGTAAACAACTGTTACCAGTTTGTGTATTTATTATAGTTTGTATTCATATTTTATATTGTCATCTTTTTACTTACAAAAGCAAAAGTATGTCGTGGCCCCTGCACAGAATCCCAGCTGTCTCAGAGGCTGAAGCAGAAGGATCACAAATCCAAGTCCATACTGGGCAACTTAGTGATTTGGTGAGTCCCTGTCTCACAACAAAACAATAAAAAAAATCTTGGGTTCTAGCTCCGTGAGAAGGCCCTGGGGTTAGTCTCTACTACCACACACACACACACACACACACACACACACGCACACCAAAACAAACAACAAAACAAAAGGAAGAGAAATTAGTTTACTGTAAAACAGTAAAACAGTATGTCCTGTTACTGCAGCAGCCTAGCACATCTCCCGTTTACTGCATCTCCTGGTGGCAGGAAGAGTCCCAGTCAGTGACTACATAGGTTTGCGTAAGTACATGCTATTCTGGCCCCAGTGAAAAGCTTGTCTAGTGACACGTATCTCAGATGTAGCCACATTGTTAAGCATCATACGGCTGTACATGAGGCTTAGAAAAACTGCCCCAAGTAAAACACCTAAGAAATAGTAGACTGGCTTTTGAGCCAGCTCTCTAGACTCCGACGTCATGACTGCTACCTTTATTTCACAGCGTCGGACTTCACAGATATTCTCAGGCACCATCAGAGTGTGTTCCTGGGACAGCAGAGACTTTTGGAGATCAATATCATGGGTCTGTCTAAGTAACTGCAGTTTGGTGTCTAAGCAATGCAATTGATTGAAAAAAGGTTGTGGGGCTGGGGATTTAGCTCATCTGCACAGCGCCTGCCTGGAAAGTGTAAGGTCGTGAGTTTGGTTCCCGGTACCGGAAAACAAAACAAAACAAAACAAAACAAAAAAAAGAAAAGAGGTTGTGTGACCAGAAGAAATTGGCAAATAATGGCTCATGAGCCTCGTCCAGCCCATCACTAGTTTTATAGGCTAGTGAGTTAAAGTTGGTCTTTACATTTTTAAATGGTTGAAGGGAGTGGGGACCCAAAAGAATATTCTTTCCTGACGTTATATGCTCTGTGTTTCAGGTTACATAAGGAGTTTTATTGGAACACAGCCATACTTATTTATGTTTCCAGCTGCTTTCCCACTTCAATTACATAGGTGAATTCAGTTAGTTCTCGCTCTAACAAAGTCACCATAAATACTGAATTAGCAAGTACTGAGCCATTGCTCCTAGGCAAAACACAAGATTAATATCCTGTGAAATCTGGTCACATTTTTGTCAGCTGATCAATACATAAACTTATTTTATGTTTGTTGATGTTTAAAGGTACCTTGTTTACCACTTACCTTTGGCTCATTAACGTGGAATTCCTGGCCAACAGCACTGGAAATTCATGCCTGAATGAAGCTTCCGTAACACAAGAATTTTATCCACAAAGTATTTCATCCACTATGATGTATGACTACATCACAGTCCTCTTATACTTAGAAACACTATACGGTACTTTAGTACTATGCTTGGGGACTGTTTTGAACAACAAAAGTCTAACAAAAATACAAAAAAAAAAAAGAGGAAGAAAGAAAAGAAACTAAACAATCCCTGAGGAGGATACTTATTTACACTCTAACAGTTGAAATAAGATCCAGCGCTACCTTGTTCATTTTTGGCTACAGACACCGCTGTGAGATAGGTCACATTTTTCTCCCTGTCCAACCTGTGTCTAAAGGTACCTTGAGTATTAATTTTGGGGTTACAGGTAAATTTTAGTAAGCAGCCTAATTTGAAAATATAGAATCTATAAACAATGAGAACTGGCTATAGTGAAATACAAAAATCTAAAATATTTACTATGTGTCCCTATATTTTAAAAAAATGCTAGCCCTTCCCTATTACATAGTATGTTCAGACTCCTTCCAAAGAGGGTGAAACAGGCATAACAGGACCTACTCTTTTTAACAGTGTCCAAAGTACAGGGAGCTTATAAGGGAAAACAAACTCAGATCATCTGCTGGGATCAGGAAGCTGGGAGCTCAGATAATGGATGTGTTTGGAAGGAATCTCTGAACTGTAGGGTAAAATCAATTTCCTCCCTTTAAAGATTTTTGTCTTCTGTTACTCATTCAACAAATATGTCCCCCATACACTCCAACTTGAAATACTAGTTCTTGGATAGTTTTATTGAAATGTAAAGGGTAAAAAGGAAGAGTCATCAGAAGAAGACAAGACAAAATAAAGGGTCTGTCCCACTTATGGCTTGGATGAACAACTCTGAGGCTGAACACTTTAAACACTTTCTATGTTGATTATGACACCCTAATATCCAGAAGGGATTTGATACAGGGTATAACCAAAGCAGAAGCAAAAATCAGGAGAAGAAAGACTAGCAGGATAGGTGGGCAAGGTCTGAAAAATAACACAACTCAACTGACAGACCATGGGCACCCTACAGCTGTTGGGCTTTAAATTCGATTCTGAGGTGCCCGTCTCAAAAATGTGTGTGTATGGTTATGGGCAATGCAGTGAGAGGGGAAATAAAGTCATTTGTGTAAACAAACTGAGGGCAGAAAAGGCTTTCTGAAGCCTTATGAGTCCTTTTTTTAACAAGAAGTTTCTTAGAGTGGACATGGAGGGTAGATGTGCCCCACAACCTAAGTAGAGCCCATCCTCATACCAACTTACCTGCTTCTGGCCCTGGCTTTTGGAGTCTCCCAGATGCAAAGGCAACTCTGTGTTTTCATTTGGAACCTAATTGTGTTTAGAATTTACTAGAACAAGTGTCTAGAATTTTTTTTTTTTTTTTTGATGCCTGGCCATATCCAGAGAAAAAAGTGAAAGTACTAAGAAGAGAGAATGGAATGAGTAATTTTGACATGGCCCATCTCATGTTCTTTCTTGCCCAGCTTCTGGATGACAGTAGGAAGACCTCAATTCAGTGGGGGAAACATGGCATGCTGTGCGATGCTTGGAGGACAGGCTATAGACCTTGGAAATACTAAGCTGCTGTGGAGAAGGAAGGATCTGAAGGCAAAGCTAAGAATTGTTTCAGGAAGTAGTCAGAGTTCACCCCGGTCATGAACAAGCCAGAGCTTTATTCTAGAGGTGTTTCCATCCTAGAAACTTTTCAAAGCTCATATCCACCAACCCATGGAAAAATCCAGCAATGCCTATCCTTGTTCCCCCTAAGCCCTGAGTATAAGAGGTATCTCAAGTCCTTTACGTTTACCCTAGAATTTTGGTCCCACTTTATTTTCTCACTAACCATGTGCTATCAACCCTAACTACTAGGGCTTACTGCTCTCAAAAGTGTAGTCGTGTGTGAAATATTAATTAAGAGAGAAATGCCGGGTACCAGAGGTGTACTGTTGTCTACCCTTCTTCCTACAGAGGCATACATCTCAGAGCTGTCAGTGTAGCACAGTTAAACCCATGCCTTAAAACCCTTGAGTGAGTCAGAAGTTATCCTAGAGACCAAAAAAGTAAACCAACCACTTAGCATTTGATCTTACAATGTGGATTTTCCCTGGGGAATAACATCAAAGGAGTCATGGAGTTGAGTGTCCTCAAGCACCATTAGCCTCAGACTAGAGCCTGTGCAGGCTTCTGAGCAGCCAGGTACGCCTGAGACCGATGGGGAGCTAAAAGATAATGCTGAACACTGATCCAATGGCTTTCTAAGGCTCCTCCATATTGTTTTTCATAGTGGCTGTACTAATTTCATTCCTGCCAATAATATATATTTGTTCCTTTTGCTCTACATCCTTGCCAGAATGTGTTATTTTTGTTAGTTTAGTAACAGCCATTCTACCTGGGATGAGAAGGAATCTCATTATAGTTTTGACTTGAATTTCCCTGACAGCTACTGATATGAAGTACTTTTTATATATTTATTGGCCATTTGTATTTTTTCTTTTGAAAATTGTCTGTTCAGATTATTTGCCTATTTTTTCTTGGGTTAATAGGTACTTATTGTGTTTTGAGTACTGTTTAATGATCTGGTTATTAATACTCTGCAGAAGAAAAATATTTCCCCCAATTCTGTAGGTTTTCTTTTCACTGTTGTTTCTCTTGCTTTGCAGCCTTCTCGTTCGGTGTAATTCCACTTGCCGATTTTTGCTTTTGTTTCCTGTGTTTCCAGGGTCCTATTCAGAAAATCACTGCCTATACCAATATCTTGAACTGTTTCTCCTATGTTTTTATCTAGTAATTTTAGAGTTTCAGGTTTTACATTAAGGTCTTTGATCCATTTTAACTTGATATTTAAATTTTTTAATTAAATAATTTTTTATTTTTAGTAGTACTTGTTTGCCTCATAATGTTGACTCTAAATTATAATGGTGATTAGTGGAGAGAAACTATGGAGTTGCTGGGTGGGGGAGGTGTGAGAGTGCAAGATGGATGGTAGGAAGGTACCAATGGATACTGTACATATGTGTAGAAGCATACTGAATCACATTAATATTATGTACAATTAATATGTTAGTAAAAAGGCAGAAGAAAATAAAAATCAGATGATACACTATCACACGCATGCTGAGGATTTGCTTAAAGAGACTCATCCATCCTAGTGGTCCTGGCTCAGTAGGATCCCAGAATCCCTTGGGAAGCAGCTTTCCCGTGGCCCTGGCAGTATATATTTGGAAATACTTAAATGTGCTTAGGAGTGGGGTTAGTAGCAATTGGAGTCTAAACCTAAAACCTCACCCTTTGACCTAGTATATCCATTTGTACTTCCCACATTATTGGAGCCAAAAGAAGTCCCTTCATTCTTTCTAGTTTGTCCCAGAGGTGATGCACTAGGTAAAAATGAGGGGGTGTGAGAACAGGGCTTT